CATTTTGCTTGCATTTTCCATTTGCAAAATTGAACATTAATGAGACCTTTGGAGTCAGAGATGCTAACCAAACCCTCTCTGTGCTCCCAGCCTTTCATCAATTTTTATTTTCCATTTTACCACACTTTGGGCTTTTAAATTTTCATTTTCAAACTCGTATCTCTGTTTTCATCACTTCCCCATATATCATGGTCAATAGATTTGAGGATATCATCTATATTAGAATTAGATCTGGTTTAAAAAGCCAGCTAAAAAGATCCATAGGCACAAAATCGTTTAATCATTGATTTCCTGGTAACTCTCGTTCCGTTTTTTGTTTTTTATTTCTTTATTTTTTTAGGCATCATCTCATCATGTATACCAGGCTGGCCTCATACTTGCAGAGGTCCACCCCAGACTCCCTCCAAATTTTTGCCACAACCCTTTGATGCTCTCCTCACTTTAATTTGAGAGATTAAATTTGATGGCTTTCTGATAACTCTGGTGTCTATGAGTAAAATGTTACAGCTTTTGTACAGATCTTCTGTAGAGTTTTGGGTATTTACAGACTCAGGCTGATTTACCAGTGCAATCCTCTATGTGACAGCACACTGATGAATGTGCCATCCTACTTGTACGCAAGCTGCTCTTTAACAAATGAATACTCAGAAAATACCCAGATGACCTCTATTTCCTCCTTTTCCAACCAACTCCGGAAGTGCTGGTGAAGTGCCTTTGAGGAGTGAAGAGATTCTATTACACCATGAGCACCACAGGACAGGAGCTGTTTGCAAATCCTCTTTTAGCATCCCTCATTCTTTTCACCTTCAAGGAGCTGCTGTGAGGCTCACACATTCTCTGCTTGCTCCCTTTGCAGTATCCATGCATGCCTGTGCAATATGCCCTAGTTCCCTCCACTTATCAATTCTTGGAAATTTTCTACCCTCCCTGGACATACCTTCCTGTTGTGAGTCCTTGTTTCATACATTTCTATCGGGTGTCTTTAGTTTTTTCTTACATACAGCAGTTTGGCCTTGCTCTGGGCCTTCCTCCTCCTTCCCACAATACTCAGTATAGCAGAGGTCTCACATGCAGCTATTCTGACAAAAACTCTTTCCTCCCCTATGGAACAGAAGCTTCTAAATCCGAACCTGCACTGTTGAGTGAGCTAGCTAGAGTAGCATTACAGATGTGATGAGCCCTGTGGAGGCTAAGAGCCCTCAGTGAGGCAAGGGTAGTTAGTCTCTTCCGCAAATAGAATGGGGTTCACTGGATAGCTATACACAAAATAGTAAAGGGATGGCAAGATGGCTCAGTGTGTAAGGGTGCTTGCTGCCAAGCCTTGTGACCCAAAGTCAATCTCCAGAATCTGCAAAAAAGAAGAGAAGTTCTGACTCTTTAATGTACACCATGGCACATGCACATACCTCTACACATATACATTAAATAAATGAATGTAAGAAATGAAGCTGGGCTGACCATTTCACTTTATATAGAAACACTCAGAATGCATAAGTAAATATTTAAAGAGAATTAATGCTTTTGAACTAGAAAGTAGAGATAGCTTCGTGACCTTGGTTTTAGTGATAGAGTATTAACTACAATATGAGATTTTAAAAATAGGTGAATTGAACTTTACCAGCAAATCATCAGGTGACTCATAGAACTTATCAGGATAGTGAAAAGCCAACAGGAAGAAGGAGTGAAGGCCACAGCCTCCAGGACATGTCATCAGAGCGAAGCCAGTTGAAAAGTGACACAGGCCTTGAATAGACCGTTCACATGGCAACAAGATCATGACGAAGATAACACTGGGTGCAAGGAAGATACTCATCAAAGCCACAGTAAAGCCATATGTGGGGTCCTATAATCCCAGCACTTGGGAGGCAGAGACAGGAGGTTCACTTCAAGCTTGAGGAATTCCAAAGCATACAGGGCTAAATAGTGAAACCCTGTTTGGAAGAGAAAAGCAAAACCCTACACTGAGGTACCATTTTACATCCATGAGGATAGCTGCACGGATGTGTAGAAATCAGAGCCTCTTACATAGCTGGGGGAAAGGGGTGCCAAAGCCACTGAAGGAAATAGTTTGGCTGTCCCTCAAGACTTAACTATATAATTACCATGTAATAGGGCAGTTCTGCTCCTAAGTACATGTGGAAAAAAGTCAAACTGCTCTGACAGTTGTTAGTGATTGCATGCAGCAGCCAAAGGCAGCAGTCATCTGAGTGCCCTGCCTGTGGATGGGTAAACCAGTCCTTCTGATACACATAGTGCAGTGGTTTTGGTAATAGAAAGTATTTAGGCACTGATTTGCACTACAGCATGGATGAACCTAGAGAATGTTTTAATTCTAGGAGCCAAAACACAAAATATTCATTTGTTGTACAGTAAAAAATGATTAAAATGATGACATCTATGGAAATGCTATCACAACAAGGTTTATATGTAATAAACCTTCAAAGGAAAATAAAGAACTGTTATAGATAAAGGACTCTAAAGAGACCTGGCAAATGGGTGCATTTTTATTCTGATATATCTGCACTGAGGAAGAAGGGACATAGGTGCAAAGGAAATCATTGGGATAGTTGGCTAAATGTGAAAATGGACAGGATGCCGGTCAACAAGATGGCCTGAGTTTGATCCTTGGAGCTCACATGGTAGAAGAAAGAACAGACCTTTTCAGGTTGTCATCTGACTGCCACACTCTCACAGTGGCTCACACACAAAACAATGTTCTAAGATTTTTTTTTTATTAATGAGTTGTATTAGATAATACTGTGTGTACTAATATTAAAATTTCTGCTTCTATTGCATTTATTCCACAGTGTTTAAGAGAATGTCTTTGTTCACAGGAAATATATTCTGATATGTTTAAAATAATGTAAAATAGCACCATGTCTCCAGCTGACTGAGCGACGTGAAGGCTATTTCTGTAAAAAAAAAAAATACAGAGTTGGTAGAATCATGTGCTAGTAAACTTATATAAAAAGTATATGCTGGCTCTTTATATAGTAGGTTTTCACTTTTCCTGTTGCTTTGAAATTGAATGAAAATCTAAAGTTGCCGGCCAGGTTTGGCTTCTGTCTTTATTCTTCCCAAGCAGTACCATGGAAGTGATGCTACCTCTGGCCAACAGCCTTCTTTCACTTGTAAACTCTCATCTGCTCCTTGACTTTTGGCTCCCGATATTTTATTTATTTTAGTGCACAGTGCAACATCTCCATGAAATTATTATGATATTAATTCTTCAGCTTCTATATACACTTACTGCTTTGGCTGGCAATCATCTGCCTTTGGAAATGTATTTTCAGTTCATTTTCTTTCATTTCTTCCTTTTCACATTGTTTTGCAGCATGTCAGATGATGTAATAATGTATGTGAGGAATTTACATGTCAACTTCCAGAGAGTGGCCTTGCTATTCTTGCTCTCCTCCAATTAGCTCTCCTCCTGAAATGTGTGTTTAACCTCTGGGTAGAGAAACAAACATTGTGGAAGATCCAGCCTTGCTAAAAGCATCCTGAGCTATGTGTTCATCTTAGTTGTCAACTCAAAGATATAATCACTAAATAAATACTGTCCTGGGGGATGGTATATCAATCAGCCACAAAAGTCAGAGAATCTCTTGCTTTCTGTCTTCTGTTTGGTTTTTGCATTGCTAGGGATGGGGAGTGCTGTGTTAATAGGGTGCACTAGGTAGCAGCTCTAGCATGGAGCAGCAGCCCAGCCCCAGGAAGTCCTTTCTCAGACAGCATCTGCCATCCACATGTAGACCCTGGGCCTGGGTCTGGGCCTGTGGGTTTGTACCTGTGCATGGGCCAGCAGAGTCCGTTAAGGTCGTGCAGGGTAATGTCATACGGGCTCATGATGCTTGTGCTGTCAGTTGCTTAACTATCTCTCTTTCCTTTGTGATGTTGATGGGATCTCCACTAGACAGAGGTAACCCATGGTGGCCTGTGCCTGGATGCTGGTGTGATGGTGCCTGTCAGTTTTCATGAGGCTCCCGCCTACAGTGCTGCCTTTGCTTTCTGCTTGCATGAGATTTTCTTTGGTTATGCTTCCTTGATTTGATATCTTAAAACCTCTTTCTTTGTGTCCCCCTCCACCTTGGTGCACAGAATAAATATTTCCTGTGGTTGGTCCAGAACTTACGGACTTTGTTTCAAGTGCAACTCTCTGGTGGATCCATTGCAGTTTTTGAAACTATCTTCACCACTGATGCTTTGCTCCAGTGAGGAGTTCAGAGAACAGGAACTGTTTGGCCAGACTTGAAAAAGTCCACATGTCAGGAAGGCTGATACAGAAGCTAAGAACTGATTATAGAGGAAAGGAAGGGAGTGTGTATTTGGCATAAGAGCTGAGTCAGAAATCTGTTTCCACCAAATAGCTGAAATTCAGTAGCATCCACTAACATAATAACTATGGTTAAGTTAGTTGTATCTAAATCTTGGAGTAAATGTCTGATTCGGCATTACCCTTTAGAATATTCTTTATCCTAAATATGCTTCTATATTTCAGACTAAGATTAAGAATCCAAAAGGAAATATTAAAATTAGTATTTCAGAAGCATTTGTATGGGCTTGAAAACAGCTTCTTTTCCTCCATTTCAGCCTACTAACAGTATGATTGTTTTGGTCAGTTGGAACCAATTTTCTTTTAGCTCTTTCATTTGTTTGTTTGATTTTGTTTTTCTTTGTGCTACTGAATTATTAGTCTTCAGCGTAAGGTCAGCAGTTTTAAAATTAAGACAGTTCTGAAGTAGGGCTGTGTGTTCAATGGCAGGAAATAACTGAAATAATTTTCTAATTTCATACTAACCCAGTGCTTAAGTGAAAACCAAATCATCTTTTGGAATTTTCATTAGCTTAAAAACTGTAAAGGATCCATAGATTTTGAATGGCTGTCCTAGAAATGCTTACCGTGTGAGCGAGCTGGGAGGTAAATGCCATCGTTCTTACAGTCTGTGTTCTAATTCAGTCCTATCTCCTTTATTTCCTGCTGGGACCTGTGCACTGACTAGAAAATCGCCCAGGAGCGGGAGAAGTTTGCTGATGAAGGCAGTATCTTCTATACCCTTGGAGAATGTGGCCTTATCTCCTTCTCTGACTACATTTTCCTTACAACTGTTCTTTCCAGTAAGTATGAACTTCCCATCTTATTTACCTGTATTTATTTATATAAATACAGAAACAGCTAAGCTGATTGGCTGGAAAACAACACCTGTTTATAATTAGTGGATTATAAATTCTACATGATTTCATTTGTTTTTTTTCTATAACTTGTGTATAAACTCACTTGAAAAGAGAACCTGGGCTGTCAGGGTAAAACTTTTTAAGCACACAGCCTGCCAGGTTACCCCTGCTGGAACTGGGGCTCTGTGTTCTGTGAGGACCAATGGCACAATGTGACTGCCATGCACACTGTGACCGCCACGAATACTGTGACCACCATTACACTGTGACTGCCGTGAACACCGTGACTCCAAGCACACTGTGATTGCCATGCATACCGTAATGTGACTGCTGCAGCATTGTGCTCCATGCACACCATTTTCATGCCACATTTCTTGCACTAAGGAAAACTGACTCAATTGTCTTGTTTGTGTTGACTACTCACTTTTTTAAATTTTTTTTTATTTTCAATTACACTTTATTTACTTTGTATCCCCCCTCTAGTTCCCTCCCTCCTCCCCTCCCAGTCCCTCCCTTCCTCCCTCTGCTCCATGCATGCCCCTCCCCATGTCCAATGGTAGGGGAGGGTTTCTTTTTCTTCCTTCTGATCCTAATCTGTTAGGTCTCATCAGGAGTGGCTGCATTGTCTTCCTCTGTGGCCTGGTAAGGCTGCGCCCCCCTCAGGGGGAGGTGATCAAAGAGCAGGCCAATCAGTTCATGTCAGAGGCAGTCCCTGTTGCCATTACTGTGGAACCCACTTGGACACTGAACTACCATGGGCTACATCTGTGCAGGGGTTCTAGGTTATCTCCATGCATGGTACTTGGTTGGAGTATGATGGTGGGATCTGGAAAAGATCATCCTGAGTGAGCTTTCCCAGAAGCCGAAAGACACACACAGTATGTACTCACTTATATAGTCATGTAATATAGGATAAACCTACTAAAAATCTGTACACCTAAAGAAACTAATCTAGAGGGAGGACTCTGGCTAAAATGCTCAATCCCCATCCTGAAAGGCAAAGAAGATGGACATCAGAAGAAGAAGAAAACAGGAAACAAGTTAGGAGCCTCCCACAGAGGGCCTCTGAAAGGCTCTGCCCTGCAGACTATCAAAGCAGATATTGAGACTTATGGCCAAACCTTGGGCAGAATGCAGGGAATCTTATGAAAGAAGTGGGAAATAGTAAGATCTGGAGAGAACAGGAGGTCCACAAGGAGAGCAACAGAACCAAAAATTTGACTACTCAGTTTTTAATTGTGGGAGAATATTTCTGGAGACTCAAAACTCAATATTCACTTATGTAGAACACTGGTAAGTATCTGGGTTCTTAAGAGTTAATTTAGGATGTATAACTGTGGCACTTTCTCTTAGTATGAATGTTAATCGTTCATAGCTCTCTCTGTACAGTTTGTTAAACCATCACTCAGGTGAGAGCTGAATGCTACTCTGTGGTGAAGTACTTGTCTAGCTGTGCGTGGTCCTGGATTCAGCCCTAACTCTGCAAAAGAAAGTACCTGAAATGAACCAGAATTCAGACTCCATGTTGACTAAGTGAATGTTCTTCCAGCTAGGAAAGAGACCGCCATCTCCCCTCACCTCATCCTCCTTGCCACATCTCCTCTCCATTCATAACTGAGCTTCTGTAAAGATAAAGCCCTGAATCAGGTGGTACTTTTGGGATAGGGTCTGTGTAGCCTAGGCTGCCCCTCAAACTTGTGATCCTCCTGTCTCAGCCTACAAATACTAGGATTACAAGTATGCACCATTATACACCACTGTGACCACCTTATGGGTTTCAACAGATGGAAGACATGATTTTGCCATGAGCAACTAGTTTCAGCCTTATATTTCTTCTGTGTAACTGCTGACAAAGGAAAGAAGAAACAGACTTCTGCCTTATCACAGCTGGCTGTGAGTACCTGCCAGTGTGTCAGAATGAATGTGTGTGGCAGACTAGTGCACCAATGAATACGTCCATTAACACAGTTATGACAACCCCAAATTAAAGCATACCTTGACTTTGTTTTGAGACAAGGTTTCTCTGTGTAGTCCTGGCTGTTGTAGAGCCCTCTCTCTGTTGACCAGGCTGGCCTTGAACTCACAGAGATCTGCCTGCCTCTGCCTCTCCAGTACTGGAACTAACGGTGTGCACAAGCATACCCAGCCCATACCTTGACTTGTTTTTAACAAATAAAAATTATTTTTTGTATATGTTGTGCAAATGCTACAGAGCTACTCATTGTGGGTGCTGCGAACTGAACCCTGATCCTCTGCAAAAGCAGCAAGTGCTTTTAACCACAGAGCCATCTTTCCAACCTCTTATTGAGATTTTGTTGTTGTTAGTTCAAATTTAAAAGTTTTGAAGCTATTGAAAGTCTTTGTGATCTTCATATGCTGTGATGACATGCATGTCCTCATGCTTCAGCCTGTAGCATGTACTGTTGTTGTCTTCATTTTACAGATAAAGAAACTCAGGCATACAGACCCCCACTGTGAAGGAGTAGACATGTTCAGATAAGAGCCTAAACTGACCAGCCTCTGTACCCAGCTCTCAGTGTCAGCCGTGTGCTGGAACGCACTCACTGCCTCTCTTTCTCTAACTATGGAAAGGCAGCACAACAGTGTGCTGCTCACTGCATTTTCCATTTATCTAACAAGCGGCCAAGGAAAATACCCCATAGACGGTACAATGAGGTATGGTTTGTGGGGCAACAAGGGACCTTTACAGTCAAGTTCAGAAAATGGTTTCCAAGTCATCCTGGACAACTCCCTAAGCCTTGAAAGTGTTGGTACTGTGCCCTTGGTATGATTCAGTGGAAAGGTACTTCCCACCAAGACTCACAACCTGAGTTCAATCTCCCAAACTCACAAGAAGGAAAGGAAAACCAACTCCTAAGTTGTCCTCTGACACCCTTCTTCCCCACACATAGAGAGAGTAAATAAACACACAAGTAAGCATTTCTAGTTGATTGGCATAGGACTGGCACATACAATGTGTAGTATATTCTTCTGATAAGCATCAAGTAACAGGATCATAGAAAACCAGGAGGCCAGTGGGAAGGAGTCGTCGCTGAGACAGGACTACCCATCCGATGAGTTGTTTGCACAGTGAGTGGGCTCCTGACATCTTCATTTCTTGAGTGCTGCCAACACTGCCCTAGTGCACTAAGCATGAGACTCCGTAGTACCTGAGGAGGTCTATTCTGTTGTCAGAAATAAAATCTAAGAACTATATGTAGCAAATTGTTCTTTTCCAGTTTGCCACTCCTAAAATTAAGCTAGGGAAGATGCTTTTCTGAAGAATTGTGTTGTACAGCCTGATTTCCCGTTAAATAGTGTTCATTTTCATTGAAACTTTTTGGAAATTTGATAAATGCCTTGTGTGGGCTGGCAAGATGGCTCATCAGATAAGAGCACTGTCTACTCCTCCAGAGGTCCTGAATTCAATTCCCAGCAACCACATGGTGGCTCACAACCGTCTGTACTGGGATCTGATGCTCTCTACTGGCAGGCATGCGCACATGAAATGAACACTCATACATTAAAAAAAAAAATAGATAGATAGATAGATAGATAGATAGAATATTTTTTTAATTTTTTTAATTAATTACACTTTATTCATTTTGTATCCCCCCATAAGCCCCTCCCTCCTCCCCTCCCAATCCCACCCTCCCTCCCCTTTCTGCATGCATGCCCCTCCCCAAGTCCACTGATAGGGGAGGTTCTCCTCTCCTTTCTGATCTTAGTCTATCAGTTCTCATCAAAAGTGTCTGCATCTTTTTTTTTAAAAAAAGAAATGTCTTGTGCATAAAATAAGTGGCATTGGTTTCTTACTCTTCTCTATACAAGACTTGGATAAAGGGCATTCTGTAGCTAGCTAAATACTGAACAGCTGTTTTCCCATCTCATACACATTCTTACATAGCTCAGAAATGTCTTTCTTGCTTTTTTTTTTTTTTTTTCCTCCTTGGCCCTTATCACCACTTCAGAGTCTGTGTAATTTATTGTTTATCTCATTTATTGTACATTCTCCAACCTAAATTATTGAGTGACAAAACACCAATCACAGGTTTATATTGTCATTCACTACAGATACTTGCTGTACATGAAGCGTTACAGCAAAGACACAAAACAAGAATATAAAATATATTGGGTTGGTATGTTTGTTTAGCCCCAAAACAGCCTTGCTATTGGTATCCTAGGGCAGGAATAGTCTTTGTAGCTGTTAATGTCTTCAGTCTGCAGCTATGCTGGCTGAGTGAGAGAAACATAGTTATTAAATTAAAATACTTCAAAACACGCTGGATTCCTTAGCAATATAGAATCTGTGTATTATATCCTTCCCTAGGCCGAATGCACAATTCTGCTGTTTACATCTCATTTCTCTGATCTGCTTTGATGAAGTGACTTAAATGTTTTAGCAAGAGCATTTGTATTAAGTAGAATATCTAGTAAATATAGTTATTCATCAATAAAATAAGTTGAGATTCTTACTAGGCAAGATGATTAATAATTGTTAAATAATTTCAAAAGAGCCTCTGATCCTTAAAGTAGGTTAATAAGAATTGATGAGAGTGCCTAGTGTGGATATTAATGACTCGTTATCTGTAGTATCCAGCTGCAGCAATTGCTCCTGGTCTTAAGATGGAAGGAGTGGATTTTTCCTAAGTACAGAGAAGTGCTATCATGGTTTATCTTGAATGCTGAATATTTTTAATCTGGGTCATTTTTACTAATGTTAAGATTCACCATATAATGTTAAGTTATATTAACTTAACACCTGGCTCTTGCCTATGTTGATAGATTTTATTTTGACAAATGACTGTTTATTTTGCATTCTTATCTCCATATGTGTCCTAATTGCAATGATTATTCCTGTGAGCTAATGACATGGAACAGTCTTAGCTGGTGAAGCAATAGTACTGATTCATTTGTAAAAGCTCGTAAGTGAAAGAAGTATC